AAAAAAATTTTATTTTGATAAAAAAGCATGAACAATTATTTTGATTTTTTAATTAAAAAGTCACCTCTAAAGATGACCAAAGAGTCCTGTCTTTCTGGCGAAATTAAGTATCTCTCTGGGTTTTATTGAATTAAATATAACTAAAAATAGTCGACCATCAAATGAATTTTAACGTTGGTTGAATAACTAATCCCAACTATAGACAGGATTATAATTTAAAATTATTATTTCAAATCCTTAATATTCTTTTAATATTGTTTTGTTTAGTTTTTAGTTTAAATAAGTTTGATATTCATTTAATGTATTTTGTGTATTTAAAATATTGTCATTTTTTATGCACTTCTCTAATTTACAGGGGTTGAAGAGAATTTTTTTAATTTTAAAGGCCATTTTATTATATTTCTAAATTTTTTATTTTGTTTTATATTATTAACCAGTTATGATTTGTCATTTTTTCAACGACCTATCGTTTATTAGTTCAAATAATTGTTGAAGAGTTATAGGGATCGACGATCAGAAGTAGAAAGAACTAAAGATAATATGTGCAAATGGATTTTAACCACAGACGCAGGCTGTAATTTCAGGAACGTATGTATAAAATTACAAAAGGGCACAAAAACTGTAAATTAGATTTACTACTCCTTCACCTTATGATCTTTCAACGAGTACAAGAAGTACTCGGCAAATATTATAAATTCGCTTATTCATTTTATTTAATAAATACATAATAACTCAATCATTCTCATGCTCATATAAGACCAACCAGTAAAAAATGTTTTTATTTTATTTTAATAATTGTAACACAAATATTTTAATTGTATGTTTCATTTTAAGTCATTAAAAATTCTACCAAATAATAAGAGATATCGTGGATTTTATAAGAAAACAAATGAAAGATAATGTAATTAAAATTTTTCATTTCTGGGAGAAGAAGAGGATAATAAATATATTTTTTTTCTATAATTGTATTTATTTTATTAGTAATTATGTGATTTATGATAACGGATCACTCTGTATATCATTTAGAGACTTGCCTTTCAAATAAAATGAAGTGAGCACCATAACAAAATATATTGAAAAAATATGCAATTTCTAAAACAAATTTAAAATTAATATTAATAAAAATAAAATTTAAATTAATCTCTATTTGTGCGAAATAAAATAATAAATAGCATATATTATACTAGAAAATTAACAAATAGATATTTCAACTGCATCAATAGAATTCATTATTGACAATTTTTGAATAATTATTTTTAAAACTAATAATTTACTAAAGAATAATTTTACTGTCTATTATTTATAGATCAATTAAATAATAAGCTTATTAGTTTATTAATTTGTTTTATAATTTGTATAAAATTTAATTTATTAATTTATTTTATAATTGAAAAATTAAATTGTTTTACATTGCTAGGTATGTAGAATAATTTTACTTACCATTGTTATTTTATGTACTCACAAATTTATTGTAAGCCGTAATAAAAATTTTTGGAAACAGACATAATTTATAAAGATTTGAAGTAAAATATACGTATTGGCAAACAAGGCATACTTGTAAAAATAAACATAATATATCTAGTATGTTTACAAAAATAATGAAATATTGAAATGCATTATATTTTTAACATAAATTATCATTTGTATGTTAAACTTTATAAAAATCACATTAATTATATTAGGTTATACTTTAATACTACTAAATAATGAATGACAAATACATATTTTAACAAATATGAATAGTCAAATTTTTGAACACAATCAAATCGGCGATATGCGACTCACCACGTCTCTCTTCCCCCAACTACACAAAACCATTCTGCCTACAAACCGACGCTAGTGAACTCGGCGTATGGGCGGTATTATTTCAACACGGACAAAAACCGGTGGAAAAGGATATCGTAGCTTACGCGAGTAAGATCTGTCGGATACGCAAAAACGTTATGCCGCTGTCGAGCGCGAATGTCTAGCTATCAAATAGGCAACCGATATATTTAGGTCATACTTAGAGTACGCCCCTTTCGAATTGTATACAGATAATTCAGCGCTGACTTATCTGCATAAAGCAAAGGGCACAAACAGTAAGTTGACCCGCTGGGCGCTACACCTGGGTAACCTAAATTTCACCACGACACACGTGCCGGGCAAATACAACGAAGCGCCCGACATGTTATCATGTCACCTAACTGTTGACGAAGATGCCTTGGATGACAATTTGTTAGGCGTGCCAATATCTAGTCCGCTCGCACTCACCACCACTCACGATAATATCTGCTCAAATACTGAGGCGAATGACGCGATCTGCGACCGACCGTTCACGGGGGGGAGGTACGAGAGTGGCAAAACAAACGACCAGTTTCTCTCTACGGTCATAAAAAAATTAAATGCGCAACTCACCATAGCGAACGAAAAACCGGACGTGAAAAATGAGGACGAATTTTTTTTGTTGGACAGTATTTTACGTATTCGTATAGGCGCTGACAACCCGGTAGTCGTTCCCACCGACAAAGTTCAACATATAATTTGGCGGTACCACGAAAACCCCCTATCATGTCACCCCGGATGGAGAGAAACACACCGAACGGTCAAACAACGGTTCTACTGTAAAGGGTTACGAAACGCCGTGCGCATGTACGTAAAATCGTGCCACATTTGCGCGTGCACTAAGCCCTTAAACATGCGCCCCGAATACCCGATGGTCAAGTGCCAACCTAGACAACGGTGGGAAGTAATCAGTATCGACCTGATGGGACCGTACCCTAGAACACCTATTAGTGGTAACTGACCACTTTAGCAGGTGGACCGAAGCGTACGCCCATAGACGCGCCTACAACGAAAACGATTGTAGATTTGAAAATTGTTCTACCTTGTTTCATATATAACTTTCAAGAAAAAAAACATTTAAAATTAATTTTTGAGCCATCTCATGCTATTTGAAAATGTTTAACTTAAAAAAATAATAAAATAATAATGAAAACTATTTTGTGTATACGTTCTTTTTTATCAATAAGTCAAGTTATATTATATAAATCATTTTTAACATTTCTAATTTTACTTACTAAAGAATTAAAAAATTATATAAAAGTTGAATTGATTTTTTTTAAAGTGTGTTTGCTTCAATCAGGATAAATCTTTCGATGCTCAGAAAATACTTGTAAGAGAAACTTAAGTTGGTCCTCATCATGGGTAATTTTGCGATTAAGGTCTTGTATCAATGAAACTACCCTTTCTGCTGCGTCATTGGTAACTCGAAGATTCTTAAAAACTTCCTCTGCTTTTAAGTAGCTTTTAGAATCGGTCCAGTTTACCACGTCATTTTTCAAAAATTCATTGACACCAAATTCTGAGAACATTTTTATTGTATTTATGTTAGCTAATTCAGGAAGCTACAAATTTTCAATAATTAAATTAATTTATAAATTTTGTTGAGCTGATGTGTACATTTATTTGCTCTTATTAAGTTTGGACTTATAACGTGACAAAAAATTAATCCCTCATTTTTTGTATATTTTGTAAATATTGTACTCTGGTTGAGTCGAATGCATACTGCGACGACGTTTAGAAGAGCGTTCTGGTACTTTTCTTCGGTGCATCAAGATATGTATTGGGTGATCACAGATTCTGGAGGATTGTGTGGTTGTAGAAACATGTCAAAATTATCTACATATGTACATGGACGATTTTTAAAAAAAGTTACAGCTTTCCAAAATTTACGTTTTTTTAAACTGTTATAACTTTGTTTAAAATTAACTCCGATTATGGGAGTTCAATTGGGAGTAGGTGCCGAAGTTGTGACTAGAGCATGCTACCTACTTGATGCTAAACTCAACAATATTAGTACTATAAGCATGGCAGGTACAGACTCTCAAAGAAGCCGACAATGACGTATTCTATTGTTCTCAGAACAATAGGCTATTGTTCTTGAAAAACAATAGATACACAGGTGACATGCAGTCTGCATGTCTCTGGTGATGTCAAACCGTAACCCCTTGGCCCCGGCGCCGATTAGGGACTGCATCAAGGTGGCTACTAATGACGTAATCCCCTATCTGACTTTACACTTGAAGTTTGATCTGAGTCCCTATGACGTCATACCTGAACTTAAGATAAGCCCTATGATGGGATCTAGCTGACGTTACATTTAAATCCTGAGCTACAGTTAGCCTTTACACTAGCCCTATGAATGGTCATTCAGTGAGCCCTAAGTGTATTATCACATCGTGATTGCGTCGTGCACAATGACGCTGTAGCCCGATGTTCCCCAACTCCAAGCTGACATGCTATGTCGAGTCGGTTAAAAAAAAGTTCAATTTCTAAAGTAAGTATAAGCGCTAACAGTTCACCATGAGTAAGCATGCGTCGAGTGCGCGTGTTTGATATGCCACAACCATAACACCGTGCCAATTTACCCCCCACGCTGTTGTTTAAGTTTTAGTATAATATTTTGTAAATGATGAATACCTCTTCTATGTTTCTACTACATATTTCAGACATTCCGACTGTCGTTGTGGTTGATAAAAATCAACGAACACGTACACAACGCGTAAGTGCAATATTTCACAGCATTACTACAATGTTTGTTGTTTAGAGCATTGACACTGTGTTTGTGTGTACTAACACAGACCCTTTTTGTCTTAAACATAGTATATGAAATACAATATATGGTTTCTATTAATGCATACGATATGTACAGTACAAATATACGTCGCCTGTTAATCTTGAAATTAGTGTGCTTATTACATTAAAACGAAACCGAATACTGAACATACATCTATAAAATGATAGCACGTGTGACTGCAATATTATTATAATGTCTTTCCGTGGTGGACGACAATCGCACGAAATATTTACCACCGGGTTAACGTATTTACGAGTGACTTAAAGACATCATAAGTGACCGTCCGTTTGTATATCAAACACAATGGACAGTGTCAACGGCATAACAACCATCGAAACGTTGTGGAATTATATTAAATAAATGTACTATTCGCGTAACGGATTTTTTTTTTGTATAGTGACTGTAACAACCTTTTTGATTTTACTGTATTTCACACAAACCGTTGATAGAAACAGATATCAAATTATAAACAGTAACGACATTGTCAGCAGTAGCGGATACGACGATGCGGATGACATCAACAATTTAAAAAAAATCCAGCACAGTGGGGTCATGGCATTGTTGGATCAAGTATAATGATATCTGACAGTGATTAAAGTCACTATCATAAAAAACGCTTCGATGCAAATCTGTAGATAGTGTTTAATTTAAAAAAATAGGTGGATTATTGCAAAAGCTACATGATCTCCTATTTCCTTATTTATATTCTGATTTCAAATTTTATGATTTATAAGTGTTTATATGAATATATATATATATAGTTATTTATAATATATATTGGCAAAGAATTCGATTAAAAAAAAAAGTATGTCGGATGAAAGAGGTATATAAATTTATTGATCCATATATTTTTCAAAAAGTTATAGCATTATAAAGTTAAAAATATAAACAAGAATTTTTTTACAAAAATCTTATTTTTTTATTAACTTTGATATCCGTTTTTACCACGAAACAAAATAAAGCTTGAATTTTTATTTTTTCATAATAAAGTGTATTACATAAGCTTTAATTTAAGATATACATTAAAGTGTCAGAGTTTCCGGAACACTTTCAAAAATTAAGTTAAATTGAAAACGTTAATTTTTTTTGAAAAAGTTGTTATTTTGAATCCCTCTCTGTGCACAAGTTAAGGATCAGATTTATAAAAAATGTATACTAAATGTTAGGGAAAGACATCATACATCTATAAAAAATAATTATATTGTTTTGATCATTTTTAACAAAATTATGACAGTTTAAAGTAAAAAAACCCAGCACAGGGGGGTCGCGGCACAGTGGTGACGTGGCATAGTTGGATCAAGTATAAATAAAACGCTTCGATGCAAATCTTTAGATAGTGTTTAATTTAAAAAAAATTGGTGTATTATTCCAAAAGCTACATGATCTGCTAGTTCCTTATTAATATCCTGATTAAGATAAAGTATGTCAAATGAAAAAGGGATTATAAAAAAATACTATTTTTCATAAAAAAAATTGTGTTGATCCATACATTTTTTAAAAAGTTATAGCATTTTAAAGTAAAAAATGTAAAATATAAAATTGATAATTTTCACACAAAAATAGCATTCGGTAGCCATTTTCACCATGAAGACAAGTCCAGAGGTCAAATTTTTTTTTTCTATAATAAAGTACATTACATACATACAAATGTTTAATATAAAATACATAAAAAAGTGTCAGACCTTCCGGAACACTTTAAAAAGTTAAGTTGAAAAAGTAAATTTTTTGTGAAAAAGTTGTCATTTTAAATCCCCTCCTATGGGCAGTTTAAGTGTCAAATTTACAAAAAATATATACCAAATGATAGATAAAGATATCAGCTTCGCATCGAAGCTAAAAATTGAAAATATGTCGAAAATTTTTAAATTTGTAATTTTTTTGAACATTTTATATAATTAAAATTATATGTATTATACATCTGAAACGCAATGTATATTCAATATCATATCTTTTATACATTTAGATTACTCTGTATATTCAAAATTATATCTGTTATACATCTGGATCGCATTATATATTGAAATTTATCCGATTAATGAATCAGTATATTNTTTATCCGATTAATGTAATACAATCAGTATATCTATATTCAAATTTTTATGATTTATACATTTGGAGCACTCTCTATACATTTTTTATTTTAGTAAATATATTTAGATTACTCTAAATTTTCAAATATATAAGTTTTATACTTTTGACGAACGTTGTATATTGTATTTGTGTCATTTGGATCACTCTGTATATTCAAATTTTTATATATTTTGTATTTGGATCACTTTTTATATTCAAATTTACATGATTTATACTTTTGGGTAGCTCAGATTTTGAAACTCCTTGTTTACTAAAAATACAGTTGATTTTCTCTTAGAACACTCTGATTATTAATATTTATAAGGTTTTTACTCTTGAATAATAATTGTTTTGCTTTTACGTTTAAATCACTCTTTATAACTTAGTGATTACTAATTTACACATACTACCACACCTGATGTTGGTCGTTTTTGTGTAGCGCTACCGTTCAAAGACAAGATTTCCGCGGAGTGCAATAAAAATACCGCTGACATGAGTGCACCTTTGCTTTGCCACGGGCTCAGCGAATCTCGTAATTTAGCTCTCAAAAGATTATATAATCTTGAATAACGTCTATTAAAAATGCTGATTTTTGCGATGCGTACCGCAAATTTATGAATGAATGTTTGTCGCCCGGTTACATGAAACTCGCTACACGACCCGACAAATATTTTATCCCTTACTACACAGTGGTAAAACAAGACGAAGATTTATCCGCAATTTAATTATTACAGTGTAATGTTCATTGGAACAGTCCATATTTTTTACATCTACCTGATGGCCGCACTCGAAATTTACGCCTTCAAGCACTGTCAATTTGTCTGACGTAAAACCCGTTAAATCCGTAACGCTTGTTATCCGCGACATATTCTCTGACTATTATCTATTAATGCATTTCTCGTCATTAGCAAAACTACAGCGTTCAATTTCGTATAGCCTTTGTTTTGTTAATGGAGCTATACTTAAACGAAAATGTAATATGTATCAATTACGTTGATTGAACAAACTCGTGCGATTCATGTTGCTGTTCGTCTAACGCAAAAAACCTATTTCTCCGGTTTGTTAAAATTATTGTCAAAACCAGATGTTACCATCTGTTTTGTACGAAGCAGCTAGACCGTAGGACGGCTAGTTGTGCACCGCACTAAAATGCCGTTTTACCTTAAGCCTGTTTAAATCGTTATTATTGATGCAGGAATGGGTCNAAAATACCGCTGACATGAGTGCACCTTTACTTAGAGGATTACGGTTAATGGTATATCCAATAAGTAACGAGAGTAGACAATAAACACATATATTAGAAATTCTTTCGAGGGTATCTTAATATTAAGGGGTAACGAGAGGGGGCCTTAAATACTAATGGCTGGCTAAGCGGCATAAAACAAATAGTTAATCTCAATTAAAACAAACCATAAATATCACTAAAAATAATATAAAACTCAGCTGTATAGATAAAGATGTTGTTAGTGATGAGTGAACTGTATGAGTACTTGTGGTAATGGTGTCGAACAACAGAGTATCACGTGTCAGAGTGTAGATCCAGACATGTAATTGCAGATGAGAACAGACGGCGAAAAGCGACGACGGCAATGAAGATATTTAGTGATGGTCAGAGCCCAATCACTGGTGGCGTGCAAGGGCACGAAAACTTGAGCACAAGGGTGCAACAACAAATAATAGAAATTATGGCGTACGACGGCCGAACAATTTACTATTAAAGCGATGGCGTTTGCTACAGGAAAGAAAGACACATGAAACAATGTCTGACTGACAATGAACTGTACATTGATGAAAACCGACACGGTGGTCACCGATTTAATGTTAGGTGGGCAAGGGGGTGAGTAAAATAATACGCTAGTGATCAGCTATCCCACGAAATAATATAATCAATGATATTTATAATAACTGGTCAACTAGATCCTTTTAAAAGCGTTCTGTACCATACACAATCAAACCGCCGTCTATAGCTCAACTGGCTCCGTTTTTAGAAGCAGATAGATTAATACGCGTTGATGGACGATTGAGGTACTCTTTGCTCCGCTATTATTACCCAAATGTGACGTTTTGACCACCTTGATGATTAACTATTACCATACCGACTTTTTACTCGCTGGTCCAAAATAATACTCTTCTGCAATAAAACAGTGATTTTGGATCCTTTTCGCGCGAGATGCAATACGTCAATGCATATCTTGTACTCGATATAAAATTAGTCACCTCAAGTGTCCCCCTATCTTCATTGGTGTATATAAGATTTTATGATTCATGTATAATACATTTTATTGTTATATGTTTTGAAAATTCATTCTACATTCATTAATGCAGTCCATTCACCTTATTCCTTTTCCTCGACATAGCCTGACTTGTGACAAAATAAAACAAAGAACGTTAACGATCCGCGTGAGTTTTACTAGACGCTGTATTCATTCAACAAAAATATTTCAATCAATGTAATAAAAAACTATATGAATTTCCAACATTAATATGAACAGTGCATTTTAAATAATCAATTTGATTACAATGTTTTTATGTATTAACTTGAACGTGTTAAACTATACTATGCATTGTGAATTGTAATTAACAACATGAATATTTGAAAAACATTTACAGCTTGATTATCTGAATTAAACTTTATGCACTTTGAAAGAAATTTTGCTTAAAAAAAAAACGTGAACAAAATTTTTGTTTACTATATCATAAAAATGAAAAACTACCCAACCTATTCTATTTGACAACAGTACATATTATTTTTTTTAATACAACGTCCGCTGGTAAGGCGTCCGAACAGCAGAATGCGCAAGCACCATTATCTATCCATACCCATACTGTTAAACATTAACAATCCAAATCTCTCGTTTGATGAGAAAACTAAGTATTTTATTGTACTTTTAAATTAGTACAATTAAATGAATATGACTTATAATTATAAACTTGATAAATTGTATTTCATCATTTTGAAAGTAAAACAATAGAATTTTTCAATCAATTATAAAAAAAAAAATTTTAATAAATAAATATGAAAAGTGAACAATTTATGATTTACTTATTCAATTTTTAACTGAATTAATAATATTAGAAAAGACATGAAAAAAAAATTATTAGTTCTTTACAAAACAAAAGTAGTTTTGTTATTAGAAAATTATACAAATTTCTTAAAATGTTGTTGATTCAGTTTCGTTGTATACATTTTTATATTTCTTTAAATAAGTGTATTGAAAGATTGGATGTAAAAGAATAGCAACCATAATATATATGAAAAGAAATTCTATGATTCTGTAAATTGAATTAATGTAAACTTAATAATAAGAAACTCCAATTCCCAACAAGTAAAATTAATATATTATTTATTTAGTTAAAGTAACTGAAGGTTGAATATATCTAAATATAAATTTAAAAGAAAATTGAATTGTAGAATAGTTATAATTAAAAATATATAGTTGAACGTTTTATTATAGAGTAGAATTATGTTAACTTTATATTATCTGTTAAAACCCCAATATTAGTAATGAATACAAAAATGTTATAAAAGAAAAATACATAAAAAAAAAATGTACATATTAAAAATAAAACAAATAAGCCATTCAAATTGCTCTAATATTAACAATATTTAACATTACAATCTTTTTTTTTTATAGCAAGCATATTTTACATATATTTAGGTAAATTTATACATTGTTAACATTAATTAATAAATTATGTTTAATTCATTCTTCTTAATTCGCATTAATTTCTTTTCTTAACGGTCACCATAGTTTTAGCTAAATTAAGTAAATAAATATTAGCCAAATTTTCTATTTTAAAAGATATTTTTTTATATTCTTATGTTTTTTATTAATGGTTCATAAGACTTGGTTTCCAACTAGATTTATTTGACTGTTTAAAAATAATAGTTTTATTTTGAATTCCCTACTTCAAAAATCATGCTTAACTCGATATTATCTTTACAATAAAATAAATAATTATTTTTATATAAAATTATATTTTAATGTAATTTTTTTAAGAGCGCTTACTTAATAATTGATTTTAGCTTTCGAAAATATATCAATTTTTAAAAATAACTATTGGTTTTATTTTCATTTTAAATTTAAGTGTAAAATAATAAGTATTTACTTAATTTAACAATTGTATTCTGTTTAAGAATAAAAAATTCTTCAAAACATTTTTTTGTTTTTTATTAAAAACAAACTTACCACATTACATTTGCCGACATTTTACATCTAAAACGATTTCAATAATTACTGATTTTAAGTCAAACGTGTACATTCAGTACATGTATTACATTAAATAGATATGGAAAAAATATTTTATATACGTGTGGATTAGAGTAGAACGAAATATTGAATATGTTGATGGTTAAATTCTAATAGAAAAAAAAAGTTGCAGTTTAGTTTCTTGATTATGGGAACAAAAAAAAAAATTTTAATATCTTTAGGTGCTGCAAGAAGGTTGAAAATTTGACAATGAGGATAGTTTTTCGTATTTGTCACTTATCTATTAATCTATACTATTCACAGGAATAATTATAGAACTAAATGATTACTATAAAAAATGTTATTAGCAAAAAAGCCATTCTATAATACTTAGTCATTAAAATTAAAAAAACAACATATTTTTATCTTTACCGTTGAAATCGTTTTTATTAGTTTATTTAAATATTGCAGACGAAATATTCAACATACAATAAAAATTTTTGTATAAAAATTGTTTAGAATTTAATTGTTTATCATGTCTTTTACCAAACGTAGTTGTTATAATCAAGTATTAGTTTGCAAAAAAGGTCTTTTTCTCTCCAACTTAGTATAAAAGTGTTAATACCATTTAAAATATTGGTTCAAGTTTTTTTATCGACCGGATATTTTTTTATTTAGATCACCCTATATAAAAAAATTAATTTACAGGAATATTAATAGTAGAGTGGAACGAAAAAAAGTGTTATTTTGCAAATTCTAATATTACTAGAAAGTGTGGTTCATAATCTAATATATGTATAAAAAATCATAATCTCAATATTATTACAAAATTTTACGAATTTACAAAACACATTATTTAAAAGTTGCAAATATATTTTTGGTTTATTGTAATGTATTAAATTTGTATATAAGTAAAAACATTAACTTAATTAAATTTAAAATAATTTTGGAATTTAAATGAGGCATAATCCTACGAGACTCACTAGCTCTTATAACACCATCCCTTCTAGCTTGTCCGCATATAGCTGTAGATGTTTTTGTTACTAATTTTACGCTTCTTTCAACATCTTTAGTATGACAAGGTAAATAAAAAATGTCTAAGATTTTCTTCTTGTGACTTAATACAATCCAAAATACAATTTAAATTTAAGTTATTATAAAAATTAAGTGAAAAAAAAAATTATACTTGTCTTAAGGTGTCTTGATCAATATTACATATAAGTGGAGGTTCAGTGACTTGTTTTTTTCCCCAGTCAATTAGTTAAACGTAGTCTTTAGCATTAAAATTTAACGGTGGGATTTCAAAAGAGCGAATCGATTGATCATTTTTATTCTGCCGAGCATTAATAATTTTGGAAAAAGATATTTTTTTGATGGCGTAATGATTATCGAGTAACATACATATCAGTATATTTTCAGGTGAGCCAAAATACGCATTTCGTTGAATAACAGGGTCAATAATTTTCAGTAAGTTATTAGGTAGATACCGTGAAAATTTTATGGTCCTCCAAAGATGTTTTGATCAAGATGTACAAAATGGATTAACTTTTGTGTGAAACAACGTGGGACCATACACTTTTAAAATAAATTCAGTTAAAATTTTCAAATTTTCTGTTGGAGAACTCGTACTAATATATAGACGTAAAGTTTGATTTGCAGTAGTAAGCCACCAAGAGTGGGTTTGCTTCCCTGGATTTTTTCTAGATAAATCAATACTACACTTACCACTAGAAATACTTTGACACATTTCATACAAATATTTTTGATCATAGCTTAAATCTACTTCATTTTTTAAAAAAGGTAAGTTGCCTTCAATATGAACAAATTCAACTACTGGCTGTTTGTGACATAATTCTAATTGTTTGCCTAGTAATCCGGAAAATACATTGGGCCCTGATGGTTTCCCATCTAGCTGATTGAATAAATGATGTAAGAGAAGCTCGTTAGAATAGAGTAAACAAACAATCCATTGCAGGTTTTTTTAAATATACTTCTATTTGACGAATTACTCCTGTTTTAAAGCCGGTGTTGGTAACTTTGCCATCACAACCAATCGCAATAATTTGTGAAGTACTTAAATTATTTGTTTCCAAAAAATGAATAATACTATTTTTAATTTCTAAAACAGATCCACTTATTGGTGTTGGATGACCAATGTATGTCGATCTTGGTTCTTGGTGATATATGTTCTTCAGTAATAATTTTTCGATAATATTTAGTTTCCTCTTGATGATTTATTATAGTTTTACCTTTACGTTCATCAAAATATAATCCTAAAATTATCTTATATAAAATTTTCTAGTTTGTGTAAATCTAAACTTTTTTTTTCTCTTGCTTTTCGGACTTTCATTCTATCTACAACACTATTTTTATTATCGACTGAAATAATACCTATGACCTGAAGTACAGCACTTGAAATTTTAGCAGTTGATCTATCTGAAATTTCAATTCTATCGTAAGCCAAAGCTAGAGCTGATAACTTAAGTCTCATCTGTGAGTTTTTTATATCAGATGATGATGTTGATGGTTTTGAAGTTATTGTAAAATCTTCGTCAGAATTATTATATTTATCATTAATTTCAACAGAATCATCAAATTCAATATTAATTTCATCTAAATTGGACGTATCATAAGTTTCTAATAACTTATGTTTTTTAATTCGCTTTGCATCAACTTCTTTTCTCATACCTTTTTTTTTTTAAGCTTTTTAGTAAGTGAAATGTCAACTAAAGATATAAACATTTTTCTAGTTGTTCTTTGATCTTTAATAAATATCTGTTCAATATTTGGAATTTTTAGAGATATTTCACATATACATGTACTAAAATCACCACATTTACATGCCGAAATGTCAAAAAGATTACTTCTTGCTTCAGTTTGGAGTTTTTACACTTTTTTTTATACGTCTCACAAGATGCCCTACCCTTTGCTAACTTGAGTATATTCCGATACTTGCCATGGTACGTTTTAATTAATTGTAATACTCACGTGTGTGATACTATTGGAATTGATGCTTTGATCCATATATTTTCTATGTTAGATGCTACACTTTCAGCTATAGAGCTTACACTTGACTTTTATAAAGTAATATCGGGTTTAAGTTGATGTTTTACATACAAATAATATTACATAACGTATTCATAAGTTGATAATACATTATTACTAAACTCTTTAGCATCTTCAAAAAATAAACATTTTGATTTATTTCTCGTCAATACACCAGCCATTTTTAACAAATATTTAACACACATTACGCATAAAATTAACTAAACGCGACTTCGTACGGATGCACAGCAATATTAAATGCAAAAGCAAGTTCGTTTATTGAAGTGACAATGAAATATTATCCAATCATAAACTTATTATGATAAGATAGAGCATAGATTAAATGAAAATAGAAATGGAAATATTACATGCATATATTTTATTACATACATTAATAAAATATATGTATGTAATATTGTAAGAAAACAATATTACTATATTTCAAATGTCTTGCGGCATTTCTTAATTTTAAACTAGACTAGTTAAATTTTATAAGTAATAATTAGGAACTAAAATACATATTTCCCCAACTATTAGTAAGTTAAAAATCAAAATTTAGTTTTTCAATCCACCCTATTACTCTATTATAACAACTACGTTTGGTAAAAGATATGATACACACAACGAAAATTCTAAACAATTTTTATACAAAAATTTTTATTGTATGTTGAATATTTCATCTGCAATATTTAAATTAATTAATAAAAACGATTTCAACGGTAATGATAAAAATATGTTGTTTTTTTAATTCTAATGACTAAGTATTATATAATGGCTTTTTTGCTAATAACATTTTTTATAGTAATCATTTAGTTCTATAATTTTTCCTGTGAATAGTATAGATTAATAGTCAAATCATAGTCAAATTTTCAACCCTCTTGCGGCACCTAAAGATATTAAAATTTTTTTTTCCCCCCATAATCAGAAAACTAAACTGCACCTTTTGTTTCTATTAGAATTTAATCATCAACATATTCAATATATCGTTCCACCCTAGTGTGGATGATTTTTGTGAGAAGTTGAACAAATCAAAAATGGTTATTATTCAGAAAACAAAAAACACAAGATACTTTTATGTCTGGTGGTAAATATAACTATTAAAATTCAAATTTGAATAATATAATAATTAAACTGCTTATGAAAACAATATTGATAATACCTAACATATTGAATTGTTAAGTAACTTAAAATTTATAAAATTTGACTTGATCTGCTTCTCATAAAAACTTTCCTAGCATAATATACATATATATATGATATATTATATCTTATACATTTNTTATTCAGAAAACAAAAAACACAAGATACTTTTATGTCTGGTGGTAAATATAACTATTAAAATTCAAATTTGAATAATATAATAATTAAACTGCTTATGAAAACAATATTGATAATACCTAACATATTGAATTGTTAAGTAACTGATGGAAATGATTATGGATAGTTAAATAATTATGGATAACTGCATAATTATTTATTAATTTTTTTCAGCAATTTGTCAAGAGTAATGTGTATGGCCTCTGTATCTCGAGATTTTTTTACAAGGATTACTTTGACATAAAATCTGTCTAGGAATCGTACGCTCCTATCATAAAGAGTAACTAAATTGATTATATATTTAGAATGCAAAATTCTATATTAATAATTATTATCAATGTTTTAACAAATAATATTATTAAAAAATTTACTATTTATTCATATTTGACTTAATATTATTTATATTTTTACTTACCATCACCATGACCATCATCATCTAAATATAGAAGGTTTTTTTTAATCATTAAAAGTATTAAAATTTAAGAATACATAAAACTATTAATTGTATATAGCTTAGGGTGTCATTTATTTTTTTAATTTTGGAAATTCTACGAATTCACCCCGCAAATTTGTGTGTATACATATAAAAAGTGGCTACAAAAAATTTCAGGCCGATCAGATAAATTTAACCCGTGACCCCTTAGGGTTGGAAATCGGTCAAAAAAGTTAATTTTTAGTTTTTAGCAATTAACTCATAAATCAGTGCTCTTACAAAAAAAAAATTATTGAAACTAAATTGTAAATCTAATTATTTTGTATAAATAAAATTCTAACATTTTTTTTAAATTCATTAGTTTTACAGAAAAATGTCAAATTACATAATATTTCGTAAAATTGTCGAAATTGGTATATTTACAAATATTTCATTATATCTGACGAATCATATGCGGTACAACCTAAATTTCATACAAAAAATGTTTAAAATTAAATTTTACAAAATAAAAGTAATAAGTAAAAATGTCATCTTTCGTTTTATTGCTACAGCTGAGATAGCTTGATAATATTACAATTTTTACTAAATATATGAGTTTTATTGCTAGATTTTGTTAGTTATCATCTGTTATATGCAAATAAGGTATACTCTACGCAAAGTATTCTATCTTATTTATCAGATGATATAATTATAAGTTATTCTTCATCCATAGAATCTGGTAACAAAAAATCTTTTTAGTTTTTTCGGGAAGTGTTGCGAGTCGGATATTTCCGAGACAATTATAAATAATTGCTAGAGTTCTCTATAATTTTTTTAAATAGTGGCTCAAATAAAAAATTAAAAATACACTCTCCTGGAACCATTCATTAAGCTCGTTGGATGAGCCAAACAATATATTGCTTAGATTTATTTAAAAAAATTTAATACAAATTTTTTTGATATTTATCGTTTCGTGAGTGATTAATTTTTTTTTTTTTTTTTTTAACTGTAGTTTCATCTTTGCCGAAGAGCAGTATGTAATATTTTTTACGATTCCATATCAATAGTGGTAATTTTTATTTATACTGAAATAAATTGTATGCTTTATTAAAGTACTAAATGACCCAGTTGATTTTCTTGGTAGTTTAACAGTAGTTTAACGATTAAAAAGTTGGGTTACTTTTTAATGTGTCCAAAAGCATAGATAATTATATCCTAATTGTAAAAAAGAAACATTTAAACATAATTTTTAGTTTATATTTTTGTTATAATTTGGGAACTATATTGAATCTTACATTTTATATTTTACGTAGCAAATTTTTTAAATTTGTACAATAATATTGAGTAATAAGGATACTTATGCATTTAAGCCAATCATAAGTATATCGTCAGATATAATGAAATATTCGTAAATATACCAATTTCGACAATTTTACGAAATATTACGTATTTTAACATTTTTCTGTAAAATTAATGGATTTAGAAGAAAAACTGTTATAACTTAATTTATACAAAACAATTAGATTTACAATTCAGTTTCAATAATTTTTTTTTTTTTTTTTGTAAGAACACTGATTTACAAGTTAAATGCTAAAAACCGATATTTAATCCCAAATCGGCACAATTAAACTTATCTGATCGGACCGACAAATTTTGTGGGTGAGCCGAAGAATTTCCAAAATGTTAAAAATAAATTGAGGGTGTCAATTTTGTTTTTTTAAATGGAAACTTATATTTTGAATTTAATAAAATCTTTGAGTTTTTAATTTAATAGTAAGTGGTATTTGAATTTTTAATATAACTTTATTCATTTATTAGATATAAAATTTTAAAGTTTCAAATTTTTGAATTAATATACATGTATAATACATGAATGTTTACAAATACAGGTAGCTAATTGGATTCTATGACGTCGCTCTCACAGTCATTGAGTGTTTGTTGAGAAATATGACTATCCTTAGATACGTTCTCTGTATTGTATATAACAATGTGCCTTATTACCATTTATGATAAATTCTGTGTACCTGCGATATCGTTGTCATAAAAAACCAATTAGCTACCTGTATTTGTAATCCCTTTTTAATTAAAAAATTTGAAACTTTAAATGTTTATATCTATTAAACGAATAAAGTTTTATTAAAAATTCAAATGCCCGTCAAATTTACTGTTAAATTAAAAACTCAAACATTTTATTAAATTCAAAATATGCATTAGTATTTAAAAAAACAAAGTTTACAACTTACAAGGCATAAGGGATGAACTTAAAAAGTATTGCATATTTAATAATTCAAGAATAATGTATAACTAAAGATAATAATCATAAAAAAAATTTAAACGTATTTATTCTGTAAGTAATAGAGTGGGTTATGATNAATTAATTTTAATAATTTACTTTAATTAAATGAACCAATCAAACCAAATAAAATCACTTTTTATATTTTGCAACATCTCAGGCAGCGATAAATACGAAACAAAATTAAAATCGATTATTCATTTGATAGTATGTTCATTATTTAATGGAAAAGAGTAATATTTTGAAATATAAAGGGTTTAGAAATTTTAANTAATGGAAAAGAGTAATATTTTGAAATAGAAAGGGTCTAGATATTTTATATCCTAGAAATCATTAATGTTACTAATATATCACAAATATTATCAATATCTTAATAAAATTACATTATTAATAAAATAATCTTTTTATCGCGAATATCTAAATGTTAGTGATCGGGCGTGATATTTTATCACTAAAAGATGTTAAATAGAATTAAAATAAGACGTTAAGTACGAAAATTGATATGCGTTTATTTTACATACGCGAGCGGTGCGCTGTTCAAAGTTAACAAATATTTCAGTACCAGAAATATTTAAAAAAGCTACGAAACTTCAAAAAGAATTTGAAATTTATTTAGAACCTTCATTTGTGAATGAATGTTTACATTTAAGAGAACATTTAAAAAGCCTTTCTGATGGTATTCCGAAAACGATTCAAGAGATTTGTATTTTTATCAGACAGAAAAATTACAAAGCATTTAGCCTTATATTGATATAGCTTTGAGAATGTTGCTATGTACTCTCATAAGCAATTGTTCAACGGAAAGATCTTTTTCAACTTTAAAAAGAATTAAATCGTATCTAAGATCTAGTACATCTGAGGATCAACTCAATAATTTAGTTTATTGTCAATTAAAGGTGAATTGACATCTATAATAAATTATGATGAGGTAATTAAAAAAATTTCGTGTATTAAGAGTAGAAAAAAATTGTAATTGTTTTTCTTGCTTATTAATTAACTGTTGTTATGTTAATAAATGATATTTATAAATAATTTTTCTATTGTTAATATTCCTAACTTTTGTAAAATAATTCAATTATTAATGATCAAATGGCCCATTTCTTAATCTTAAAAAAAATTTATGATTTAAAACAATGGTAGGGCACATTTATGGGGGGTCTATGGGGATTGGACCCCCCATCCATGGTCCCATTGATGTCTAATGTAAACAAGGGAAATTGTTTTGAAGACCTTTTTTTTTTGCTCAACTAAAAAACCCAACTCAACACTTTTTGGGGGGCGGTAAAATTCCTAAATTCGACCCTGACTGAAGGGGTAGATTTTAGACCCGTCAGCACGGTTTAGCTCAAAATTTGCAGACTGAAGGATGGCTCCTCGTCAGCCACTAGCAAAACTACCTTTTCTCTATACCTACTAAAGGGTGGTTAAGCCCAAAAACTAGCCAGCCCGTACACCAATTGTTAAGATCGATTAAAGGAACAGCAATCCAACATAGACTCAAGCCGCACACACATACACAATTTTAATAACACAGCGGATATAAAATATTTACATTACGTGCAGGTTTTTGAATAGTTATATTTTATCTACAAAACATAATAAACATAAAATCAGATTACAATATAATAATGTAATACAATATAAATTAAGCCATTTAAAATACAAAGTTTCACATACTAAACGTCCAAACCTATAACTAGACATTTCTTAGTCAAAACGTCAATTTTCCATTACTCTTCTTGTTTCCTTTTATATATTCTTTTACCACCATTGTTAATATGCTTACCCTGCATTATCTCTTTATATGAGATTATTATATTACTTAGGAATTTAAAAATTGCTTACTACTGTGTTAAAAATGTATAACATACTAATATCGAAGTTATTTAATAACTACTCAGCTATTTACTACAATATTAACGATATTTTTCGGTTGGAAAACTATTTAAGTTGTTATTTCAACTATATAGTTTTTCCCGTACAAGTAGTGGAGATGCGAATAAAAATATCTAGATCTGAAGAATTTAAGCATTTGTATTTTCTTTGTGTTTTAATAAATATAGGCCACCTAGACAAAGTCAATTTATTTTATACTTCTACTAATTCAAAATAAAAGTTTTATACTGCATACTTTCTCGAATAGATTCTTTTTTAACATTTTTTTATTTAAAACTTTTCAAACACGATAATATATAGTAGAAATAGGTAGTATTAGTAAAATTTTTTTTATGAACGTCCTCTTTGAAACATCATGAGCACCTTAGTATTAATAATTATTTAATTATAATTATTATAATGATAGTTATTATTGATTTAAATAATTATTTATTTAGACACCTATAAAAGAGAATAATTTTGTAGAATAATTTATTGAGATACTTTTACAATGGTCACAATATTTAATAAAATTAAATAAAGATATAAATGAAACAAAAATTTTTAATTTTTATAATTAAATTAGTATATTATTTAATAAATAAATAAAATAGTTGATGGTAAATTAAATTAATTAACGATATTAGAATTTTTGTATTATTCTGTTGACACACATTCTTCTTATTGGATAATTTAGATATATTCGTTTAATGATAACAGTTGATTTTTTTTCATCATCATTTGATGGCAAGTCTTAAAATAAAATAATGAATAAAAAAAATTTATTTCAAAAATTATCACAATTAGATTTTATTTTTAAAAAAATAAGAAATTTTTTCAAACAATAAAATGTTTT